CATTAATGATTGGTGAAACTGGGTAAAGGGCATATGGGAGCTTTGTCCAATTTTGTAACTTTAAAAAATAAGTTTGAAATTTGAAATGTGAAAGTTTTTAAAGAAATTTTTGTTGGGAGCCCAAAATATAAACATTTGACATTTACTGTCTACCAATGTAATGATAGGCAAAAAGTTAAAGAAAGATTAAGGTATAAATCAACTCTGCCAGAGAAAGACAACAACTTAAATGATCATTCTTCCTAAGTGGCACATCTACTCATTAGGACAGAAGGGGTTATTTTTGACTGAACTACCTAAATATTAGGATGACATGTTAAAAGAGGTAATACATATGACAGCACTCCAAGTGTAAAATACTGTGCAAAATCAAGGCTTTATTAGACATCACAAAAATGACATGTGAGCCCCTCTCCCAAGAAGGAGGCAAGACAGCATGCCGAGGGTCCTAGGCAAGGAGTAGAGGGCCACAGCTCCCTCCGCCTGGAAGCAGGCAAGACAGCATGCCTGGGGTCCTAGCCAAGGAGCCAAGGGCTGTAATCCCCTCTGCTCAGAAGGAGGCAAGACAGCACGCCCAGGGTCCTAGGCAAGGAATAGAGGGCCGCAGCCCCCTCTGCCTAGAAGCAGGCAAGACAGCATGCCTGGGGTCCTAGGCAAAGAGCCCCATCCACCAGGAAGCAGGCAAGACAGCACACTCAGGATCCTAGGCAAGAAGCCTAGGGCGCAGGCCCCTCTGCCTGGAAGCAGGCATGACAGCATGCCCAGGGATCTAGGCAAGCAGCCAAGAGATACAGCACCCTCTTCCCAGAAGCAGACAAGACAGCACACCTGGGGTCCTAGGCAAGAAACTGAGGGCAGTACTGCCCACTCAACAGTAGGCAAGAGAGTATGACAAAAACACCACTTCCATGCAGGTTACCTGCCACAGCCACAGCTGCTGAAGTAGCAGCTCAACACCACTACAGCAGCCACAGCCACCATGCAGGCAGCCTGCCAGACACTTGACTGCAATGACACAAGGAGAGTCACCAGCAGAGACTGGAAAAAGAAGAGGACGTCTCTCTCCTCAAAGCCCACTCCAAAATAAGAGAAAAAGCAACTGCTCTACCAGATGACAACACATCAATGTAGAAGTTCTAGAAATACAAAAATCCAAGAAAATATGACATTGCCTGCCAAAAGAATACAGTAATTCTCAAATATGAGACCCCATAGAGCAGTAGAAACCCTTGAAATGACTGAAAAGGAATTTGAGCAACAATCTTAAGGAAACTCACTGAGATACGAGAAGACTCAGACAACATTATGAAATGAGAAAAATAATACAGGATATGAAGGAGGAAATTTACAAAGAAATTAATACCTTAAAAAAGAATGTAGCAGAACTCATGGAACTGAAAGATTCATTCAATGAAATATAAAACACAAGTGAGAGCTTGAGAAGCTGGCTAGAACAAGCAGATAAAAGAATTTCTGGTCTTGAAGATAGTCTTTTTTGAAATAACCCAGGTGGACAAAAAAAGGGAAAAAAGGATTTTTAAAAATGAAGAAACTCTAAAAGAACTAATGGACAACCTTAAGCACACTAACATTCAAATCACTGGTGTTCCAGAAGGAGAGGACAAAAAAAAAATAGTCATGGAAAACCGATTCAACGAAATAATAACAGAAAACTTTGCAGGTATAGGGAGAGACATGGACCTTCAGATCCAGGAGGCTCAAGGATCCCCAAACAGATTCAACCCAAAAAGATCCTCTCCAAGACACATTATAGTCAAAACGGCAAAGCTCAAAGACAAACAGAGAATATTAAAATAAGCAAGAGAAAAGCATCAAGTCACCTATAAGGGAGCTTCTATCAGACTAACAGCAGACTTCTTAACAGAAACTCTACAGGCCAGAAGAAAATTGGATGATATATTCAAAATACTAATAGAAAAAAACTGCCAAACAAGAGTACTATACCCAGCAAGGCTATCTTTCAGAAATGAGGGAGAAATAGTGTATTTTCTAGACAAACAAAAGCTGTGGGAGTTCACCACAACATAACCAGCCCTGCGAGAAATCCTCAAAGGAGTTCTGCATCAGGAATCTGAAAAATGATAATCACTCATCTTACTAGCTATGGTTCTGGTCAAACTCTCCGTTTTTTCATAATTCAGTCTTGGTAGGTGGTGTGTTACTAGGAATTTATTCATTTGATCTAGATGATCTAATTTGTTGTTCAATAACTATGCATAGTATTCTCTTACAACCCTTTTGATTTCTGTAAATCTGGTTGTAATGACCCCTCTTCATTTCTGGAAAAAAATAAATTAAAACAAAACAAAACTGAAGATCCTACAATACGGACTGATTAAATTTGCTGACAGAATTCCTGAGTAGTACTATACTTCAATAAAAAAACCTTATAAAACATTTAAAAACTATTTGAAAATAATTTAACATAAAATAGTTACAAGAATAGTACAAAGAATACATCATATACTTAGATTCACTAATTGTTACCATTTTACTCCATTTGCATTATTCTTCTTTATCTCTCTTTCTACACATACACATACACACACACCATCTTTTTTTTAACCATTTGATGGCAGTTTATATGTGTCATGGCCCTTTATTCCTAAACACTTCTTAGATTATCTCCGAAGAATATGGAAATTATTTTATAAAACCACAGTATTGTTGTCAGCTTCAGTAAATTTAACATTGAAACCATACTTTTCTCTGTCTGTTCTGTCAATTGACTCAATAATGTCATTTATCAGATTTTTCCCATCCAGTATAGGACAGTTAGGTACTGTTAGTTGCCACGTCTTTTTATACTCCTTTAATCTAGATCTTTTCCACAGCCTTTCTTTGTTTTATATGACACTGACATTTTTGAAAACTACAAATGCCCTTTTTTATATGGAATATTTCTAATCTGGGGTTTCTCTATCGTTCCCTCATGACTGGACTTAGGTTATGCATTCTTGGTGGGAATACAGTGCTATACTGGTGATGTTGTGTTCTTCTCCAGGTATCATGGATATCCATCTGCCTTTCTTCAATGATATTAATTTTGATCATCTGTTCAAGGTGTCCAAATTCCTCAGTTTAAAATTACTTATTTTTCTATTACAATATGTGGGAGACACCTTAGAACCATGGAAATATCTTGGTTGCTCATTGAAACTATCCCTAGATTTAGGATCCTTTGATGATTCTTGCCTGAGCTGACCCCTAACATGATAGTTACAGAATGATGCTTGCTGACTCCAGCACTCCTATATTTACTAGTTGGCACTTGACATTTTACTCATGAATTCATTTTCCTTCTAATGACTTGTAATTCGTTACTGTACATACTTAATTTAGCACTCAAATTGACTCAGATTTAGCCAGTGGGAGTTCCTTCAAGCTGGCTCCTGTGTCCTTGTGACAAGCCTCCATCACATTTGGGGGCACCTCCTTCCTTACTTTCTAGCATTACAAAATGTCTCAGGCTTCATCTTGAACCTATCCTGCTCCAGTCCAGGAATAAGTCATTTTCCCAAGGAACTCTGGTTCCTTTTAGTGGGGAATGGTATTAGAGACTAAGATTTGGGCATTATGCATGCTCACCGTTACTATGGTACTGTTGCTTCCTGTCCTTTTCAACAAATAGAGCTAAGAAATACATGTGTGTGTAAATAAATTTATACACATATCCATATACACATATGCATATAGTCGTACATATATACATGGCCACATATACATGCACATAACACATACATATGCATTCTTTAAAAAATCCCAAGTCCATACTGGTACCTTCAATTGCAATCTATTTGCATAGGTTTCTCTTCTTTCTTACCCCATTAGATAATTGTGCATCCTTATTTCTTTAGTAAGAACCCTGGCTCCCAAGAATATCAATTCACTTTCTTAATCCTACAATAAATCTACAATTGTTTCAGAATTGCCTTGCCCACTCTACTGAAAAACAAATCTGCTAAAGAGAGTTCAGTATTTGTTTGCAATTCTCCTCCCTCCTCCTTATATCCCATTTTGCTCCCAAAGAGTGTATAGAATCAAATATATACTGTGTTTGTAAATTAGCTGAATTAGTTCTTTCTCTCTTCAGTGTGGTTATGGTATCTATGTGAAATACAACTGGATTTATTTGTTTCAGTTTGCTTTCATTTTGAAGTTTCTTCCCCCTGCCAACCTTAATGATTTAAATTTTTTTGCGTATGTAGAACAGTGATATGGTACCAAAAGTAAAAACTGCCTATAAAAAGCGACACTCAGAGAACTGTCACTCCTTTACATATTCTTTCTGCCCCATTCTTTGCATCCCTTGTAGGTAACCATCTTCATCATTTTCTGGTTTACTACTTGTTTCTTTTTGAAAAGATAAGCATATAATAGATATGCTTTCGTATTTCCCTTACTGTCTTATACAAAAGAAAGCATACTAAATATACTTTTTGCACCTACCATTGTCTCTGGAAATCATTCCATATCAGTTCATATAGATCTTACTCATTTTTTTCCTCACAGCTGTATAGTTAGTACCATTATATGTATGTATCATAGTGTATTTCAACTAATCTCCTATTCTTGGACATTTAGATAGTTTCCAATATTATGCAGTTACAAATAGCACTGCTCCAAGTAACTCTATGTATATGTATTTTCATACTATCGGAGATGTATCTTCCAAATAAATTCCTAGAAATGGGAATGCTTGGTGGAACAGTAAAGCATACACGTAGTTTCCTTAATATTGCCAAATTCCCCTCCATTCGGGTTGAAAAGTACTACATTTTGATTCAAACTTACTTGGTAATATATTGATGGCTTGGAAATCCTGGTCCATCTCTTTTGAATTTCATGTGTTAGTTAGATGTAATTTTATGATTCTGAAACTCTCTACCAGCTCTGAATGTTTTTAAAATTCGTTTTATATTTTGCAAATCTTTGGAGAAAGATATTACAAAGAAAATTAAGTTACTTTAGGTACTTACTGAGTGGTGTTGTGTCAGGAGGTGGAAAATTCTCAGTAAAGTTGACGTTACATAAATCCGTGCTACAGCAGCAGAAACGGTATGTTCCATTCTGAATTGAGGGAGGGGTGGTAGTTACTACACATTCTTCATAATGACACTCTTGGGGATCTCCAATGTGAGACCAACATCCTATAAATCAATATTCATATAAACAAATTAGGAGACAATATGATAAAAAAAAGAAAAAGAAAGGAAAACAACAAAGAAATAATTGCAATAAATGTGAGAGAGTGAGTATACAAGCTATAAAACAGTTTTGCAAATCAACAGGAAACACACATTTTAAGAAACAAAAAATGGCAAAGTACACAAATAGACATTTCCTAAGAAAAAAGGCCTCCAACAAAATGTTTAACTGCATAATTAAAGAATTATTAAAGCAACCATAAGGTTTTGGTTTTGTCTGTACTAACTAAATTGTTATAGGATTAAAAAAATAATGCACAATCATAACAAGGATTCAGTAACACAGACATTCCCATACAATGCTGGAGGGAATGTAAAAGGATAATATTTTTAGAAAGCCACATGGAAATTTTTATGCAAAGCCTTTAAAATATTAATATATTTTACCCTCTACTAATTCTACATCAAGAAATTAATTTCAAGGAAACAATCAGATACAAAGATTTATGTTCAAAGTTTTCACTGAAGCATTATGTATTACAGTTAAAACCTAAAAACAACATAATGTTCAATAATACAGTAATGTGTAAGAAAACTTTGATACATGTATGCAATGAAATACTGTGCAGAGGATAAAAATGCTTTCGAAGTATATTTAAAAATATGGAAAAATACTCATGATATAATTAAAATGGGAAAAACTGGATATGAAATTGTTTATACAGTATTCTCATTTTGAAAAAAAAGCACATACACATTAAACATAGAGGTATATAGAAAACATACCTGAAAAAAAATTTTTTTTAAAATTTAAAACACACACATACACACAATAAAATAAAATAAAATAAAAAAAGAAAGAAAACACACCTGAAGGGGCTAAACTAATTTAGTAAAAATATTTTTTGAGTACGTAATTATAGACTTATTTTTCTTTATTTTCCTGTATTTTCCAAACTTCACACAGTGAGCATGTATTATGCATTAATATTATAGTAAGAAAGAAGCTTTAAAAGAAACTAAAAATAAATTACCTTTTACAAATTTGGGGCTTGTGGGTAAATAAATATACAGGAATATATATAACTTCAAATTTACTTTTTTTCTGGAGAGGGTTTTAATCTTCCTCCAGGTCCTTTTTAGATAAACTTCAATTTTCTGAATCACAAAGTCACTTCAAGTATGAAAAATATTACTTGCCTTGTTTTACGAGATTTATGTCTCCTTTTGATTTCTCCCAAAGACCATAGCAGGTGCTACCTTTTGAGCATAATATTGTCCCATTTTCGTGAGAGATTCGACTCTCACCTATCCCAAGGTCTTGTTGATAGGGATCTTTAAACGCACATAGCCGTTCTTGACTTTGGGAAGCTAAAGGAGAAAATAAAGGAATGACAAATTAATTATACATTTTCAATAACTTCTTTCTGCTCATTAATTTATTTGTAACCTCAAAACATGAAGCAAATTTTATTTTTTTATTTTTTTATTTTTATTTTTCCTTTTTGTCTTTTTTTCGTGTCCGGCAACGGATCGCAACCCTCAGTGTCGCGTCCACACCGGACCGGGACCGGCAACGGGATCGCAACCCTCGGTGCTGCTCCCACACCTCACTCAGCCAGTGAGCGGGAACCGGTCTGTACGTGGGATCCGAACCCTCGGCGGGAGCGCCACTGTGCTCCCAAGCGGCGCACTGTAGCAGTGCGCCACCGGGCCGGCCCGAAGCAAATTTTAAAACTCATTTTCCAAAAGCAATCCCCTCTTACTGAAGTTATTCTTACCACTCTTTCTCCTATTAAATAATTTTGGTGTCCAAATAAAGAAATACCATCAAAGAAAATGTCCATGCTCTAAATTATCAAACCTTCAAAACAAGTAAGTCTAGAGAGCTGAATAATTTTGGAAAATTCTACAGTACTCACTTTTATCATATTTTGCAGTCAGTTACAGAAAGTTACATTATTAGGTGTGGTAAACTAAGGTGGGGAGAGTGACTACAAATGGCACATGATTTAATTTGGGGGTCATGCATATGTTCTAATATTAGATTGTGGTAATGAATGCATAACTGTAAATTTTCAAAACAAAATCATTGAATTGTTAATTTAAGATGAGTGAGTTTCATGACATAAATTATACCTTAATAAATCTGTTTTTTAAAACTAACACTAGAGTTGGCTAGGCTTCCCGTCAAGATGGTGGAATAGATGGTCCTCAGCATCACTCTCTCCCACAAATCAACCAATTTACAACTATTAAAAAGCAACGACAGCCAAGTTGGCACTCCTAGAGCTCAGGGGAAGAGGAGGCAAGACCTATGAAATGCTTGAAGGTGGGAGAAGCCAGGATGAAAGAAAAAACCATTCCAACTGTTTTGTGCCATGGCCGCTTTAAGGCTGGAGCTGCTGATTGCACAGAGCAGGAGCTGGCAAAAAGCCACAGCTGTGCCTTTCAGATGAAGTTGCTTGGAGGCAGCAGGGGAGAAGAGGGCCTTGGTGGCCCCCAGGCCAGCAGTACTACCAGCAGGGTTCCCATGGACCCACATAAGACTAAGGAAACACAAAAACTGAAAAAAAGTAGCCACTCAGAGGCTGGTGCACCAGATTTCACCAGATCGAAGTACGTATAAAGTCAACCATTAAAACCTAAGCTACACAAAAAGCCTTCCCTAGGGAATCAGCAGCAAAGCAGCAATTCAGCTCAACCACAGAGCTCAAGTACTGGTCCCCACAGGAAGTTTCCCCCATTTTAGGAGTAAGCAAAGGACAACAAATTAGTTCCAGTGCAGAGTTTAAGTGGTGGAAACAGCAAATAATCCAACAAAGAACTGGAAGAAAAAACAAAGTACCCACAACCAGAGACAAAGTTTGATAACTAAAGTCTCATTTCACCAAAGAACACCTATAACACCTAGAAGGACCAGAAGTACCCTGGGCTACCAAGCCAGGAAGGGGAGAGGGCTGGGGTCCTCAGCCATGCCCACTGACACCTGCAACCAGTCCTGAGGATGGGAGCCGAGGGCCTTGGCCACACCCCCTGACAAGTGCAACCATTCCAGTGACGACCACTGAGCTGCTGCAGGAAATGCCCCAGGCTCTCCTGAGCAGGGTAGTGGGGGGCCAAGTGCCTCAACCACACCCCCCGACCACACTCAACCAGCCCAGTGATGACCAGCAAGCCTCAACAAGAAGGTCCCCAGGTTCCTGAGGTGGGGTGGGATAGGGGGACCAAGAGCTATTACCACACCCCCTTGAAGAGCCAACAACTGTGTGCTCAAGACAATTTGGATACACAGACCTGCCATATTATTACAATGAAAAGTACCTTCAAACTATTGGGCTAGGTAGGGAATAGGGTATTCACAAGTAGGTAATACAGAGGTATAGACCTCAACCATCTTACATAGTCTATTTGGAGAGCTCAAATAACAGACAATAAATAGTGAAAAATAAATGTGACTTGATTTATACCATTTAAAACTACTTCCGGAAGTCTTCTAGAGGATATTTACTAATACCAACTAAGTGGCCAGAAATATAGTACAACCTATTCATAAAAACTAATTCTAGGACATTAGCCTAATTATAATTCTACCACATTTTTATCACATGTAGTCCCATATTCTAATTCCTTTAATGACAATCTTAATTATATTTATTAAATTACCTTCCACATTTAACAATGGTATTTCCTTGGGTTATACCCTAATTTGCAAATTTTAACAGATTAATTATTATAAAGATTAAAACTGAATATATTGCTACATAAAAAAGGACATATAACACAAAAGATTCATACTTAAAAGATTCAAACTACAAACAAAAAACTTATAATGTAAATCTGAAAAGGCGTCTATCCATAAGGCATAATTCTTTCTCCCTGTCCCATCCCATTTCTTGGCAGGTTAAATGCTTCTGACCTACTACCAGACATCGAAGTTACATAACCTACTCTGTTTCCCTTTTTGTCTTGATTGTTAGCACAGTCAGAACAAGTTTATCAACTCAATATTTTCAGTTTTCCACAACTAAGATATTCTAATTTTACTCCTGTTATCCATTTTGGCTAGAATTTTGCACTGAATATTAAGTTAATGAATAAGGATCTACCTTTACTTGAAAGTAGGTAGATCATTAATAAATGCCTTGTTTAATTTAAAAAGAAAACAAAGGTATATCCTTGTGAAAGAATAGATGCAAACAAAAATTTATGCTTTTCCTTGATTTCTTTCATAGTTGTAAAGTAGCCAAGGGTCTCAACACAAGTGTAATTTTTTTAGTGCCATTATTATATAACTTGATAAAGCTATAAAGTTATAAAGCAAAGTCAGGAGCTTTATACTTACCTACTTATTTATATCAAATTAAAGAGGATATAATTTTGGGTTCCCTTCAATTCAACTGAAATAAGCTCCTGAAATCTAGCTGGCTCATATTCAACACTTCCAAGATAATGATGCCAACCATATTTCTGAGACAATGGCTATAAATACAAAGGAAGTCAAAGTCATGAACCATTTATCCCAAACGTAAAAACCTCTATAGATGGCGTCGTAAGTTGAGAATCAGACCACCATGAATTCAAGTCTCTAGCTTATGTTCAACCGATGCTGCCCTCATCACCTGTTCAAACGTACAACTGCTTTATTTCTAAAGTCAGAAGAGATGGCGCTTTCCCTCACCTACACCTCTAACCAGAATCAATATGAACAGCTATCATAAAACATCAAAGATTTGTCTACCACTTTCACTCAAAGATTGGCAAGGCACAGTAAAAAAAAAAAAAGAAAAAAATTTTTTAAATCTAGCCAATGATTATCTTAGAATGTAAAAAGTTAATACTAAGCTGAGAGTACAACATTGCTTTTTGAAATGTGTGACTTGGTAGGTTAAAGCATGGTGCTAATAACACGAAGGTTAAGGGTTCAGATCCCCATAATGGCCAGCTGCTAAAAAAAAAAAGCATAACTTGGTAATTTAAAATCCTCTAGCTTAGGTTTATAAAACAAAAAAGTGTATCCTTCTCAAAACAAAACAAACAAACAAAAAAAAAACCCAACTAGCCACTTTACATTACAGCAAACATTTGTTGACACACAAAAATGTTATATATTTAACTCAAATGGAAATTACAATTGATATCTTGGTGATCTTCCAAAAAATTCTATGAGATGGGCATTACCATTTCAATGTTACAAAGAGGGGTACTAAGTCATAGAGAGGAATAAGAAAGTTACCTCAAATTACCCAGCTGTTAAGTACCAGGGTAGAGATTCAAACCTATGTTTGACTGATCCCAGAATGCCTGTCTTTTCATCTTGGAATAATTTTGCAGGCAGTTAAGCATTTGATCAACTTTTTAGAAAAATTTAGATATTTACTTCTTTTTCTTTTCAATTTCTAATTGTTTTCAAGTTTTTTTTTTTTTTTTTTTTTTTTATTATAAACTATTTACAATAGCATAAAAACAAAGGCATAAACAGTGATTATCTCTACAGTGAACAGGACCAAATGTTCTTTATGTTCTTTTTGTTTCTCTGCCATTGATTCTTTTTCTGTAATAAGGAACATGAATTACTTCTATAATAAGAATTTTTAAACACATTTAATAAATAAAAAATTAAATGGACCTAAAAATTTTAAAGGGAAGTTTTTCTTAAATTTTAATTATCATATTCTACTTGTTAGCAATGTTTTGATGGACATTTTAGGGGGCATATTGTTTAAAAAAATATTTTCAAGTATCAAATTACATTTCTAGCAAAGTATATGCAGTGGATTGAATTGTGTCCACCCAAAGTTTAATGTATTGGAAGCTTGGTCTTTTCTGTTACAGTGTTAAGAGGGTGGGAAATCTTATTGTGATAGTTGAAAAGGAGGAGCTTTAGAGAGGTGATTGGATTGTGAAGATTGTACCCTCATGAATAGATTGATGCATTCTTGTAATAATGGGAGTGGTTCCGGTGGCTTTAAAAAGAGAGTGAATGAGAAAGTTAGTCTCTCTTTGCTCCGCCGTCCACCATATGACACCCTGCATTGCTGTAGAGTTACCTCACCAGATGTGTTCCCTGGACTTTGGACTTCCCAGCCTCTGGAACTGCAAGCAATAAATATTGTTTCTTTACAAATTACCCAGTTCCAGGTATTTTGTTATAAGCAACAGAAATGGACTACTACAGAATATAAGGATAAAAAAGGTAAAATGTCCAAAGAAACACAAAAGTTTGTAAAATGATTCCACCAGTGCATTATAATACTAACTGGAAAAATTATCTTCAATTATTTTGTAGTTTTGATAAAACTGTAATTACAAATTCATTTTTCAGTAAACCGCTTCTGATCAAATCATTTAAGGTCACATTTAAGGAATGA